CTGTAATTAAAAAAAATACGTATAAATAATACTTCTGTTTTGTGCACATACAATATATTACTTTGCTATCCTAGAAAAATGTAAAATAATAAATAAAAAATTAGTTTAAACATAATTTATGAAAGACAGAAATATCACAAATTTAAAGTGTCTTTTATCATATTTTAATACAACTATCTTGTAAGATTAGGATTTTTCAAAGGAAAACAATATTCAGGTCAAAATTATTAAACAAATTTCTTTCCTTGAGTCTCCGTACATTTCTCAGTAGAAGTTATAAGAAATTAGTAGGTTGAAAAAGAAGAATCATAACTATACATCAATTGTAACATTTTATACAGCTCCAAAATCACAAGGCTGTTGACGATTCTTCACCTATTGTAGTTTTAAGAAAATCCTTTGCTCTAAAACATATAAAAACAAAGAGTGCAGAATTATAAATCAAAGTTAAAGATAACAGTAGGAAAGTTCTAGCTTGAGTCCCTTCAAAACATTAATTTCATGTTCCTTATCAACTACTAATTTTTGTTATTCACAAATACCTTACTTGCTTCCTGACTAATGTTTTTAGGGATAAATGTCAATAAAATTATTAGTAGTATTTTAGTTTCTCAACTAAACTGACACATAAATTTTACAACAATAATGAATAATTTCTAAATAATTAATAATTTAAAATTTCCACTGGCTTTGGGTAGATTAAGGCTATTTGAGAATTATATTATGTTCTATCTATATTTTAAAATGACTATTCTGACTAGGTAGATAATAATATTTTTTTGGCGGTCATAGCTACATTATTAAAAATAGGGCTTACTACCATATTAACAAAGGATACTGAAAAATTACTGCAGTCACATGAATCCTTAACAACAATCCAATGTGACCATATGAAGTATAGGCATTGTTGTTAATTTCTATTCAAACATAGAGCCACAAAAATAAGCATATTTTGATTTATTTAATCACAATCAAATACTATGATAAGAAATACAATATCAGTACAGTATTTTCCATAACCCCTGAAATTAAAATACAGATAGTAACATTTAAAGTTATATTTTGGCAGAACAGATATGTATGATAATGTTTTAAGGCTCATTATGGGTAGATCAAAACCTATGATTATTCTATCACTGACAAAGCCCTTGGGTAATTGCTTTCTTTGTTCCAGACATTAAAATGGGTGGGCTAAAATATTTGTTAAAATTTGAGCAGGAAATTTAGTTGTTTAGTTGAGATATTTCATTAGCTGATTTTTAGCAAGCATCACCAATACTATCTTTAAAACAGATTTAGATAAGAATATTTTAAAGAAATACAGCCATGCATTTTTGGCAACTTTGTTCTTGAAGGCAGCAAGCAGTGAAAGTATAAATGAAAATTCTAGACCTGGTCACTTCATAAATACATTTATACACATCAAGCACACATACATCCCTCATTTTCTTTCCACACACAAAATTAATAGTCATGGTAGAATTTTGTTTCATTCCAATTTGCTTATATAATCATCTCATTTTATGAAAAATAATCTAAAGTTTCTAGAAACATTTCATAGGAATGTCAAATATATCCCTTACGTCCCCTGATTAAATGCATTCAGTTTCAAGAAGTAGACTAAATATTTTTTAAATATTTGTTAATTTTATTCACAGTTTTGCAGAAAATTTGTCTGAAAAGCTATGTTATATTTAGAAAGTTAAACCAAGATTACTTCTTATACCAATTATAAAGATAAATAAGAATCATCCTTATGTTTTACACTGTGTAAATAAAATATTGAGAAAACTTACTTTTAAGGATTTAAGTATCTGAATATTAAATATGATTATATTTTATAAACAAGCATTTTTCAAAATTAGAACTTTTTTGCAATAAAGCATTGTTGAAAACATTATACACTGGCAAATGGTAGTGCTTAACATATTTTTTACAAAGAAAAATTATTAATAAAAAATTATTCATTAAAATTATTAATTATTTTAAAAGAGCTATTGTTAAATTATTTTAAATTCTAATATCACTGTTGTTTTGTTTAATGTAATGATTACCTGCATGATATCAACTCAGGGACAAAATAGCACACAAAAGTTTAACTATGGTTACTATTCTACAGGCTGCTAATAAATGGCAATGAAATATATAATTTTATAACACCTACTATAAAATTATCCTGTTATTATGAAATGTGTGAAGATGATATTAATTTTTAATATACTGCACATCAGTCTCATACTATATTTACTGATAGAGTTTTTTTTAAAAATTCTAGGACTACTATCCAAAAATCTTGCAAATGTAAGCATGACACATTATTAAACATATTATGAAATGTGTGAAGATGATATTAATTTTTAATATACTGCACATCAGTCTCATACTATATTTACTGATAGAGTTTTTTTTTAAAATTCTAGGACTACTATCCAAAAATCTTGCAAATGTAAGCATGACACATTATTAAACATAAACTTGCCGTTAAAATTTTTTCCCTTTAATTTTTTTTACTCTAAATATTCAAAAATTCTGAAATAATACATAGCTCAGAAAGTGTGTTGACTTCATAAAAGTAAACATCTTCCAAAAAACCCTTATCTTTGCAAACTGAAGAATTACACCACATGGTCTATCTTTATGTCTTTATGTAGTTAGTACTATCATCTGGATTTTAGTTTTAACCATTTGAAATATATAAAAAACTATCAACCACAATTGCTATTTTATCAAACATGGATATGGCCCACAAATCTTGTTGGCATGACTGATTTGTCCACATATAATGAAATCAAGGTGTGTTGATTTAAGAATAGATATTAATGCTTACATCTTAGTATTTATAATATAAAGCATTTCCTAACCTTTGACAATAATAGGTTCCTTATAAGATTACTGACCTTAGAAAATTAAAGGAAATATGAATATAAAGTTATTGTTTAATAGAAATATGCCAAGAAATATGTCATCCAAATTTTATTTCTGAAACAAGGAGATGATAACCTGCTTAGATTTATGCTGTGTTTTTCCCCCTGAAGAATTAAAAAAAAAAGTCCATTATCTATTTGCACACTTAGTATTAATGTAACATGAACACAGATGGGAAACAGACAAAAAAATAAAAACAAGTTCATCTGCATACTATCAAGAGAGAGTATTTTATATTTACATTTTAATACTATGTTAAGAAGTGAGACACAAATGTGGAAGCTTGGAGATGGTGGGCAATTGAATACTGACAGGAAAAAAAAGAGAAGGAGCATGGAGAATTCTGTGTGATAGCCTATTTGCTTACTTCTTAGATAAAGGCATGTTTGTGCATTGATAAGTGTCTGCATTCCCACTGAAATAACAACTTTTAATTTTATGAATAAATTCATTTTCATTGGAGAAGTCTATTAATGCACTGGCTGACTGACTTGTAAACGCACATATTCTTATTAGAAAGAATTGTGAAAAGAACTGGATCTTAAACAGCATACAAATTATTTGGTGTAACATAAATATGACTAAATCAAACATGTTCAGACAGTTATAAATCAGTTTTCCCTTCAGAGACCTGATCTATATTTTTGTTACCTTCCATCTAATGGCTTATGAATGTTACTGAGTGGCCCAGACTTTGTTTGGGGAGCTGGAGATAAAGGATATATATGACATTGTTCCTGCCTTTAAGGAGCTTATAGATTAGTTGTAGAAAATGGATGTGTGAATGTACCAGTGCAATAAAGTCTTAAAAGTGCTGGCACTGAAGTATATAAAGAAGGCACATCTAACTGGAAGGGGAAGGTATAGGTAAGAAAATGTTTGAGAAATGGTGATTATATTTACCTAAATGTCTTTCACCTTTTTATGCTATCAGTATACTATTTTTTATTATCAAATAATCCCCCCAAATTGATTACCGTTATTTCTGTGTTGGAGAGTTCCTGTTTCTAATCGAACCTACTTTAGAAGTGATGACCTGCTTAAATAATATCATTTTTAAAGTAAAAGAATCTTTACTTAAATTTTCCTGATTCTATACTTACACTTATTTGTTAAACCAGACAAACATGATATAAAATTAACAATATAATTATACTAAGTATACTAGCATTAACTGCTTTTCAGGAAAAAAAAAAGCAATAAAGTGACTTTCTCTATTCACAGTCACAAAGAACTAGGGGAATACTAAAACAAATACTAAAAACACCAAATGGTTAGGATTTAATATTGATATGTTTCTGATTAAAAATAAACATTAAACAAACAATTTACTCCTTTGCCAAATAAGCACTTCAACTCATTATGGTTTTGTAGTTATAAAGGAATAAAATATCTGTAGGCATCACATTTCTTCGTTATCATGGCAGGAAAATTATTAAACTATCTCATAAAACCATACTTTAAAATAGATGCAAAACAAGTTCCATTATAATTTGAGATCTCTCAATTAACAGTATAAATTACTTTATTTAGGGATGCCATATTATTTATTATATATGTATGACCTTACCTTTATAAAGAATTTTCTATCAATAGTGGATACCCATTATTTCACTCACTCACTCACTGAGCTGGCATCAAACATCTCTTCTGGCAACAGAGCCCCAGTTTTCATTTGGGAAACACTCTTTCTCATTCTTATTGTATGCGCTTCAGGTAACGCTGACAATCTTCCAGTGACTCCATGAGTGGAAACATGACCCAGGTATGACCTATCACTATTTCCACACCCCTGGCAGTTACTAATTTGGGATTGAACATATGACACAGGATGGTCCAACAAGTTAGGCTGAGAATTTGGTGAAGCTATTGTGGTAGAGGTATTTATGTTTCTAATCTAGGAAAACACCAGCCTGGCACTGCTAGTAGTTATCTTGCCACCATATGAGAACAGGAAGAACCTGACTGAAAATAAAGTTAACTTAGTTTAAACAGAGGCTCCAGAAATTGAGAGATGCATTTCTGATAGCATTTTGGCATCTGAATCTTACCATGTCTAAAACTTGCACAGAGTC